GAGAGTAACTCTTCACAAACTGCTGTTGTGAGAGATCCTGCATTCCAGGATAGATAGCTGAGATTCTTATCTTCTGTAAATTTCGAAGGCCGAGTCCTTCTGCCGGGATTGGTGAGCTTTTCCTGTGCCGGAGCAACTCCTAGCTCTGTTGACAACATCGTCCTTCCCTTGTAGACCGCACTACCTTCAAGCAGAGCTTTACGTGCTGCCCTTTGATAAGAGCGTTTACCCTTCCCTTTAGGAGCGGGCTGATGCTTGGTCGAACCACTAGGCTGTTTCGCAGCACTCATGTTGAGTGCTGCTCCTGTCGGCTTCGCAATACCGACAACCCTCACCTCTGGGAGATGTTAGAGAGCTGTAGATCTAATACTCCCTCCCGGACTTGGGACCGGGACTGCGCAGGCGCTGACAAATGCCATGGCAAGAAAGGAAAAAGGCAACTGTACTAGCCTGACCTTTCCTGAGCCGAGAGGCTTAACAGCAACAGCAATAGCAACAACAACAACAACAGCAACAACAACACTGATGATAGACAGCAGCAGCAGCAACAGGAGGAGGAGGAGTGCAAATAGCAGCAGGAACAGTAGCAGTCGTAGCTGTTGTTAGCTTTTGTCATTGGGAAACGGCCAGGAGAGGCGGGAGTTGCACAGAGAGCTCTCCGAGCTGCGCTTCCAGGAGCGGGGAACATGGCGAGGGGCCCTTCAATTTTGCGGTAGGGTGAAGGCAAGGGCCCCTTGAATGGGGTGTTAAGGATTTCCCCAGTCCAAGTCTAGTGCTTTCATGGTTTGGGATGAGGTTGTTAAAAACGACTTGTTCGGTTTGCGGTAGGGTTTTCGGGAGAAGGTAGCTTACAGGTCCCGGCTCAGAGCATGTGAGAGTTGTAACATTCAAACAGTGTAAAGTGTGTAGCCACAACAGCCGTCATCGGCGGGGCCAGAGGTCGTAGAAGCCGTTGCATAGCAGCCGTCTACACAGCCCGCTGCTTTGCCCTCCGGGTCAAGGGCCAGAGTGACTTTGTGAACACAACTGTCGGTAGCGAATGACCGGGACAGCAATCTCCGAAAATTCACTGCACCAGCAACGACGGCAAAACCGCTTAGTGGTGAACAGCTTTCCGACAGCAAACCTCGACGCCGGTCAGTTTCAATTGAGCCTTTTAGCAGAAAAGTGTATCAGCACTTGCTTCTGACGGACTCGCTACAAGCAAAACCTGCCCGCGCCAGGCGTCTGAGACACTTCTACAGCCTCTTCAGGTCCGAAATCTTCGGATTTGAGAGGCAGAAAAGGTCGAGGCATTGCAAATCGAGACAAGCAGCGGAGTCGGTCAGTTCGTTTCGAGCTTTGACGCAGCCGGAAACGTTTGACTGAAGTTTGTGGCAAGTAGGGTGCTGTAGCTCACCCAGAGACCAAATCCGTCCAGGAAATTCGTGAGCATTTCGAGAGCCAGGCGGGACACGGCAATCAGCTACTGTCTTCGCGTCGTTTGAAATGTTGCTGGTTCTCCCAATGTTAGTGGAGTGGGTTGAGATCCAGTTTGCCTTCAAATCCGCTCTGGGTTCTGAAATGCCAACTTAGCCTGGGTTCGTTGCCGGAGGGCAGAGCAAGAAAGGGTCGGAGGCCCTCGACCTACAGTGAAATGGCAGAATCTGTCGTTTATCTGATGAAGACTGGGGCCTGCTTGAGCCTAACGGTGAAGTGAGTGAAGGGGTAAGCCGAAGATTACGAGCCGAGTGGCGGCCCAGGGATTCGAATTCCGCTGTCGCCAGCACGAGCAAGTGCTCGAGGTCGTTGAGGTGAAGCAGGAGCTTGTGACGCAGCTGGCCGTGCTGGGCTTAGCTCGTGCTTCACGACGAGACGAGTGGCAATTACTGTGCATGAGTAGATGACCTTGGCTGTGTTTTTTACTTGCAAGAACCCCAGCTGCACTTTGGCAGCTACATAGCTTGGCTGCATCTAGCAGAAGCATTGCAATGCAAAGCAAGGATATCCAGGAGCGAAATCGTATGCAGAGTGGCCAGCACCTTACCTCAGATCGCCCGGATCTCCTCAGGCCTTCGAAGGTTCACCTAGGGATGCTTCGGGATTTGTGGCCGTTATGTGCAACACGCAAAACTTCAAGGCGAGGTGCAACTGGAGATGCGTCAGCTCAGAGATGAGCTGAAGAGGCCGATGCAATTCATGGCGTGAAGCGCAGCTAGAGCTGCAGTGTTGCATGATCTTCGCTCGTGATGGCACTGGCATACCTCAGTCAAGAAGTATCCAAAGATGACGACACGAGGTGCCAGGACGAGCTCTCCAGTAGCCAGGCCGAGTTTCGGACGCTCTCCATGCTCTACGACAAGGACTCACCGGTAGATGATCCGTGGCCTTGTATTCCCTAAACCCATACTGAGATGTACGATCCTTCTTGCGATGCAGGAGCAGCGCGAGAACTACCGCCTGCGGCAGACTGCCTGGCTTCTTGATTTCCTGGTGTTTGCCAAGTCGCCCACTTTCAATTCAATCCTGTTTCTCACGACAGGGAAAGCCAGCAACAAAGTGAGATGGCCTCCGGTCGGCACGAGGCCGTGGAACGAAAGATGCTGGAGTTTAGCAGTTCAGCAAGAGAGGGCTGCTGCGATGCTTTGCTCAACTTGGCAAGGCCATTGGATTGGAACCTGTTGCCAGCGACGTGGCATCTGAGCTTGATTGGCGGGGAGCAGACCGTGTCCGAATAAGAGTCAAAACTGTGCAGCTGTGCATTCGACCCAGGCAAATCAGCATCCCACCCTCACTTCAGCGGACTACTCCATGGTACCAGCCTCAGTTCACAGCTGCGATTCACAGCCTCGCTCTGGGTTGCCATGCATGCTTGCATGATTCTCTCCACGGAAGTTCTCGTTCGACACGCCGAGCTCTTGAGGACACCACCGTAGCAACCGACATCCTGCCAGTGTCCGTGGCTTCTCCGGAGCGCGCCCACGAGGCGAGCTGAGCTCCGCTGCTGCTGGGAAGTTGGCAGAACCGGAGTCTTTCGGGAGGCTGCGACAGCGAGCAACAGCAACTCTGTCGCGATGGTGGTCGAAGAGAGCCAGCAGAAGCCCTACTACGCCGTTACTACGCCGTTTTACGTCGAATATGTGTTGTACCCCACCGAAGCAATTAGATTCATCGTTGAGCCAGCAGTGTTGAATGCGTTCACCTATTTGCTGCTGGTGCACTCAGGGCAGCAGCTGGAGCGCAGCTGCAGGAGCGGCGTGTGTCTGCGTAAAGTTGGAATTTACAGGGGCCTTGCATCTTTGGCGGGGGGATGCGGGGGGTTTTGTTGTCGCAAGTTGCTGTGCTCAGCCGATGGCCTGCAAGACGAAACTGTCGGCGAGGTCGCCGGCATTCCAGCACCGCTGCCGGCACCCTCAGCCGCAGTGAAGCAGGTGGGCATGAAGATCAAGTCCACAGCCAGGTCCCAAGACCTTGAGACCTTGAAGCGCGTACGTCCCAAGCGGTACTCGTAGCATTCGGGAGCTTGACATCGTAACGGCTGGAAGACCTCTGCAGCGATCGCAAAGGTCCAGGATGAGGGCCGGGAAGCGCCAGCAGCACCACCACTTGTGCCAACCCCAACGCAGGCACAGAACGAACTTTCAGCGCATCCATGGAATTTTCCATATCAGCAGTGGAAGGCTCGGCCGAGCATCCCGGCGGTGTCGGGCTCCCTGGTGCCGTCTTTCAGGGCGCATGCCGTACTGTTTATTTGGGTCCTTGTATCCGAGGTCGGTGCTACGCACTGCGCTGCCGATTGCCGCGGTTCAAAGTCGTACTCTGCCAGCAGCGGCATTTCATCAAGCACATGAGAGGCAGAATCATGGAAGTGCATGCAAAACACGTCAGACATGCTGCCTTTTCCGCAGTCTACGCTTCTTCCAGGCTTGGCACGATGGCTGCCGCTCCCCAGACCCCCACGGTGTGCTCGGTAGCTCGACTCTGAACCTAATTCTGGCTGCAGCTGACAAGCTTATCGATGTCGGTGGGAGCTCAGAACTGCAGGTGGTAACCACCGGCCCAACCTCACACCGAAGGCGTCACGGCAACAGTCGAAGATCGCAGACGGAGAGCCCGGCTCGAGCATGCTCGTGCTCGCCACAGGGTTGCAACCACGACCACCACGAGGCCCTTCATCCCGCTGAAGCCTCAGAGCAGAAGACCTTTCCGAGATGCCGGCCTTCTCGGATGCTGTAAAATAAGAGAGTCCATACTATAGGGTCCTTAATAATTAGAATAGGGTTTTGGGGTATATTATATATGGGATCGGGTATCAACTTCGGACCCGGCGACTGTTTCCATAGCTGACAAGGCACCATCGCAGTGCGTCTACCTCTTCATGATTCGGGAGGCAAGCTGCAGTGTGGTGGCCTGAGCATCGGGACCCCGAGTCGGAGGGAGCTGCAATCGGGGCAGAAGCTGTGATGTCTCCAATTGGGAGTTTCCGAAAATTCGGGTACCTTATTCAGGGGTCCTTATCAGAACGCTCCGATGCCTTGTTCACCCGCGCGCGCGGTAAGACAGGAAAGCGTTTTACACTGTAAATACCACGAAAAACACACTTTTGTTGTTGATTTCCGTGGGTTGGGTTTTGAGGCATTTCTGCGTCAAAACGCGTTAAAACTCGAAAAATGGCCGCGGCACAGCTGCAAAGTAGAGTGTTCTGAAGCCAGGCAGACGCGAACAGTTTGTGTGTTGCATGGTCGATTCGTAGACGGTTGTTTGTGAGAAAGTGTGAAAAACTCGAGGATTTTGAGCTTTCGTCGTGGTCGGAGCAACAGGTTATCAAGACAACAACAAAAAAGTGAAAAAATGAAGGAGCATTTTGCCTCGTAAAAAACCATGGCGCGAAGGCTTTGGAGCACATGAGGAGGCCATCGGGTTACTCTCTGGGGAGTCAACCTGCCAGCTCTGCCCGGACACTTCCGGAAACATGTTGATCACAGTTCAGGGTTTAGGGTAGTCCCAAGACATCTGAGCAAGCTGAAGCTCATTTCGACCCCCCAAGAAATCCGCTGCAGGCCGACTACTACGTGGACCAGACCGGAGGGGCAGCAACGATCGACTTGGCGCGGTTGGAGTCACCGGTCTGGTCTGGCCTTTTGACCTTCTTTGCTCTTTCCTGTGCCGAGTTGAGAGCGGCTTGGGCTTTTGCAGTGTCGACTTTGGCAAAACGTCTCAACATTATGTCTTGCCCGGAACATACTGTCCTGGCAGAACGATGTCAGCTTGGACCTGCTTACTGATCTGTCCATGCCAGTGCCCTGAGTGGAGCCGCGACGAAGCTGTTCAGTAATCCTCTCCCTCTCTTTTGCTCGACGATGGGTGCCGGTGGAGCTTGAAGGAGTCGTAAAGAACGTTCCCTGGAGGCGCAGAGTGCTTCCTGTACGACGTACCGCAGGAACAACTACCAGGACCGTTGACGGCCGCCCCTCATCTCCGGCTCCTGTCGACTCATGTCGACTCGTGTCCGTTTGTGGAGGAAGTGGTACCGAGAAGTTGCTCGAGGAGGTCCAGGCCAGGGCCAACTGAACTCTGGGCCAACTGAACTCTCTCTCTCTCTCTCTCTCTCTCTCGCTCTCTTTCTGTGTCCAGGTGAAGGTGCGACTGAAGCTACGGGGAGCCCGCTCCATACAGACCATGAAGCTCAAGAAATCCCGTCGACTGGCCTAGGCATGCAAGCCATGCTCGCAAGGAACGGAGGTCAGCCTGAATCCATTGAAGAAGGAGGAGGAAGGCCTGGCGGCTGCACCGCTTTACGCTTTACGTTAAGTTTCAAGCGGTTTCTGACCAGCTTGTCTGTGAAGTGTCATAGCGAGTGATTGACCTGACGAAAGCCCCTTCGGGAGGGTTTACGCGGGACGGCACCCTGACACTCTCTCACAGAAGGCTGCAGTCAGGAAGCTGTGGAACATTAAAGCGCGGTGCTGCTTGCATTTTACTGTCGCTCTTGCTTTCTCGCCTTGGCTTTTCCGATGGTGTGCCCCGGGTTCCCGGCAGCATCCACCGCACCCGCCCAATGGCCACTATCCTGTTGAAGCTCCTTCTCCCAAAGTTCGAGGTTGGTTTCGGTGCTTTCGAGTATACGCTCGAGTATGCCAGAGTAGCCTGCCTGGCGCACCGTGCTCGGCTAGTGGTTGATGTTGTTTTCGTGTCGCGCAAGATCAAGGCGCCTCAGACCCGTGGAGCCATGTGGCAGGTGAGAAGGACAGGGCAATGGGCATGGACTTTGTCGCCCAGGCACGCCTCGGGATCCCGGAGACAGACGCACAGCCACATCAGGTTCCAAGTTAAGTTTGCTGTGTTGGCTTCTCCGAACTCCCACACATTTGCGTCTCTGTTTGCAGCTGAGCTGGAAAAGTTCACAAGGTCACTGGTAGAGACATACAGTAGACTGGCATTTGTGCAGATATAGGCACGGTCATACACAGCAAAGCACCTGTCTATCGTAACAGTCGAGTAAAGGTTCGCGCAAATCCGTCAGCTCTGGAATGGTGTTCGTAGGAGGCTGCCTCTCGTATAGTAGCAGTCGGACACAAGGGGTGATAGCATTAAGGTCCGGGGAAGCCGAACTTTTGGCCGCCACCTCAACGCTGTGTGACGCGTTGTTCGTCCGCCGGCAGTTGCTCTCCTTCATCGCCGATGTCGATCCTCCACAGGTGCACCGCTTTCTTGACGCGCGTGCGGCGAAGGCAATCATGCAGCGGCGTTGGCCGCGTGCGACACCTGAGTGTACATCACGTGTGTTGTGGTCCCAACAGCTGGTGGCCGAGCAGGTGATTGCCCTGCACAAAGTGGGGACTTCAGTCAACGTTGCGGACTTGAATACCAAAGGGGTTTCCAGGGGTCGCATGCTTACACAATTGAATCTCCTCGGATGTTGGCACACCTTACGGGAGTGCTTTGTGGGAGAAGATGAAATCGCAGAGCTGCATTACCGTGTTTCTTCAACCTGCACCGTTAGCAAACCGATGGTGCAAGCCATCGTGGTGGCCGTCATATGCGCCTTGGGCCGGGCCACGGGCAATCCTGATGGTGAAGACGGCTTGATTGATCAGGGCGATGACTTACCTGACTGGGCCAAGCGGGTTCTAGTTTGGTTCCTAGGCTTGTGGGTCCGTGATGATACAGATGTGTCCATTGTTGACATGCTTATGCAGCCTTCTGTGATCCTGCTTGCTTGCGTCTTCTTCAGTTGCAGATTTCGAGCCCCCACGAGCAGAGTGCTGTTTCGGTTCAGTTTGATCGTCGGCTCAATGTGTATGTTGGTGTTGCTGCGCCTGGGACTCCCGCGAATCCCATGGCTTTGGATACTGATGATGAGGCGGTGAGCCCGCCACATGTGGCGAGTTCGACGTGCAGAGGTGCAAGGTCCAAAGCATCATCCAGGCCAGGTCCGAGGCAGTGTGCTGGTGATGATGATTTTCATCACCCTGAGCGTCCTCTGCTGCCCCAGCGGGTGTATTGCTGTTGCAAGGCGAAGGAATTGGCCAGCAGATCGAGTTTGGATCTCCCATGCTGGACGTTGCTTCCATCGCCTGAGGTGCTTCAAGCTTGATGATTTCGATCGTGTGAAATGCTATGATCGCCGTGATGCCGAAAGCCGCGGATACCGCGCATGCAAGAAGGTCAATCCATGAGGATCGGTGATAAAGCCTCTCTTGAGTGCCGCTTGAAATGCTCTTGATGCGATGTTGCTTTGGTGTCTGCACTCGTCGTGTAGACACCATGGGGCGTCTTGTATATACGCTTGTACAGTAGCTTGGATGCTCATGTTGCTGGGCCCTGGGCCCTTGACGACTTCTGGCGTTTACAATCTTGAGCATATACCTCGTGGCCTTCTTGACTGTGCATATGGTGCATTTTGCACCATCAATACTTGTGACCCGTGCCATTTTGGCAAACCCGAGAGCCGAGACTGTGTGCACTTTGAGTGCGCTGCTGACACGTGTTGTGGCGATGATGCATTTCGCCACTCCTGAACGTTGATTAGGAGGTTCTAATCATTTTAGTCGTGGGCATAGTTTTCCTTCGGCTGTTTTGCGTACAGGGCAAGCTCTTTCTTGAGAATCAAATCGTGCTTGCATGATCCCACATGAATTGTGCCATCCTGTTGACTTTTGACACGTCCTAACATACCCCATTTTCCTTGACGATTTTGTAGTGTTTTCCTTATCATGTGTGGCATGAGAACACATGTGATTATGCAGACCGCGCCGTGACTTTCAGGCTCTAGAGTGTTTGGAAAAGACCGTGCATTTGTTCATGGTAGCGGAGCTGGTTCCGTGTGCCTGAGTGGACCAGCTTACTTCTAGATTGTGCAGCAAACACGGCAGCAACAGAAGCCTCGGCCGAAGCCCTGCGTCAGCGACTCAGAGAACTTTACTTGGAACAGCTCTTGCAGAGGGAACGGCCGCAAGGAAGAACTCCCGAAGGTTGGGCGCTTTCAGGATCAGCTGGAGGAGAAGCTCAAGCATCTCCATACAGTACGATATCTGATATCCATTGCTTCGCGCTCAGAGCGCTCAAGGACCGCCATTTGCGAGAAGTGTACATTGGGTTTTGTGCAGCTGATACTTCTGAGTTTGCGTGTTCGAACAGCCTGGTGGAGAGTGTCGTGTTTGCGAGTGAAGAACATCCGAATTTCCACAGAGATCTGGAGTTGTTTGAACAGTCACAGACATTTGGCGTTTTGCGAGAACCGCCAGCTACAGTGATTGATCTGGAAGGCGAGCCTCACAGGGTTTTCAGCACCAGTTTTTCATCTTCGAAGTTTTCTGTGGAACCGTGGAACCTATTGATTTGGATTGAGCCCAATACCTTGAACAATGGCGACTTCAAGCGATGCAGCAGCAGTGCCGGTGAATGATGACTTGGATGATGAGGACGAGTTGCAGCCTCAGCCACAAGTTGGACCAACAAACCCCTTTGATCCTTTGAGCCCTACCGCTAGAGCTGGTGGAACCCTCAATCTGTCTGCAGACCATGTGCGGTTGATGCTTGAACAAGTGGGAGAAGCTACGAGAGCTGCTACAGATGCAGCGGCCCAGGCCGTTCAGATGAGCACCAGCTCGCGGAGTGCTCTGAGTTCAGGTGACCTCACGAAGATTCTCCCGAGGCCTGATTTCTTCAATCCGAAGTCTCGTGAGGAGGAGCACTCAGGCTGGATGTCATGGCTGTGGCAGTTCAAACAATATATGACTGCGTTGGACTCTGAGTATTCCCGTGATTTTGTCATGATTGAGACACATTCCACTGTACCTATAGACTATATTGCGAGCCCGGACGCATTGCAGAGATCTCACAAGCTATATGCAGTTTTAGCTGGATTGGTCAAGGGCAGAGGATTGCAGGTGATTCAGCGTGTACCAGGGCAGAACGGCTATGAGAGCTTGAGGCAGCTTATTCAGTTGTGCCAGCCGACTAGCCGGACGCGCTCGCTTGGCATCCTGACAGCCCTTACTCAGCTTCATGGTTTCAAGATGAACGAGCCACTGTTGGCTCAGCTTTTGGAACTGGAGAAAATGATCGATGAGTATGAACGATCTGCTAGCAAAGCTTTGGATGATGATTTCAAAACTTCGATTCTGCTCAAAGCTATCAGTGGACAGATGAAGAGCCACCTCGCTACTGTGTTGACTGAACATTCGACTTACACTGATGTGCGCGAGGCAGCTCTGCGCTATGAGAGGATGAATACCAAGTGGACCCGCAGCCAATGGATGTGGACAGACTCAAAGGCGGCAAGGGCAAGCATAACAAAGGTGGAAAGGGCGACAAAGGAAAGCAGAACAAAGGCGGAAAAGGCGACAAAGGAAAGCAGAACAAGGGCAAGCAACCGTACGGCAATGACTACAAGCACGACAACTGGTAAGGCAAAGATCGGTGGAACAACAAAGGGAAGCAGAACAAAGGTGGAAAAGGCGACAAAGGGAAGCAGCACAAAGGCAAGCAACCGTATGGCTATGACTACAACTACTCTGGCAAGGGCTATGGCAACCAGTGGCATGACAAGCGTGTGCAGCAAGTTCAGGATCAAGGTGGACCGCAACAGCAACAGCAGCAGCAATCATATGCACCACCAGCATGGCAACAGTCTTCTTCGGCTGGGTGGCAGCAGCCTCCACAGCCAAGCAATGCTACTGCTGTGCCGAGTTTTAGCAGTGCTGCGAGCCAAGCGTCTACCATGTCTACAGCTGTGCGCCGAGTGTATGCAGAGCCGCTTGTGTTGGACATGAGTGACTTAGCCTTGCCTGGAGATCACGCCTTCAGTGCCCTGAGTATCGTCTGGATTCGTCAGACAATGATGATGATTGGCATATGGCTCCCAGTGAGCCACCGCGCGTGCTGGCCACAGCACCTCCTGCATCGTTGTGTGTTCGAGCAGTGCAGAATGCTTCGTATGACCCGTCTCAGACCGTGATAATCGATTCTGGAGCTGATGTTTCGTGCCTGCCTCGGTGCTGTGCGCCAGCCGGCCGGTTTGTCCCTGCAAGGAACTTGTATGTGCAAGATGCTCAAGGAGGCCAAATGCCGGTCACAGAGGAGCGACTGGTCGACTTTGTCGTTGAGAGTGCCAGCCACGGTTCAGTGGCTATCAGAGAAAGGTGTATCATCGCTGATGTCACACAGCCCCTGCTTAGCTTAGGGCGCTTGATCAAGCGAGGCTGGTTTCCGTGCAGAGGCCCGCAAGGCTTTTGGTTGAACCATGACGGCAGTGGCGCAGACATCCCAATGGGTTTCAAAGGCATGAGCTTGAGTGTTGAAGCAAGCATCCGTCGTGTGTCGCAGCAAGAGGTGACTGAAGCGAGCACCGAGCCAGTGCAAGCTCCTCAGCATGTTCGTGTGATCCTTCTTGTAACCTTGTCTGAGCAAGTTGAAAGTTTGCAGTTTGGCTGGCAGATTGCCAGCACCGGCCATCTTGTGTGGCGTCGGAGGTCCTCGTGTATGATTGACCCCACGCTTATAGTGCAAAGTGACTGGCCATTCAGGTCCACGATCATGCGCAGGTCTGAGGCTTTGCCGTGGATGGTCATTGAGACGTCTGAGGATTCATCGAAGAGCCGCTTGCAGGTGGTGAAGCGGAGTTGATTGTGTTCATGCATCCGCGACTTGAGGAACTGAGTGCCGTGGGCATTGAGTGCAGCGACGACCTCATGGGTCGTGACCACATGCAGGTCGAGGTTGAAGCTGCCGCACCGCCTGACGATGAACTAGGCGGGGTTGGGGATATCCTGCTTGAGCAAGATCCTGCAGTAGCGGAGGCTGAGGAAGTTGTGCCGATTGATCCTGAAGCACAGGTTGCTCTGCCTAACATGGAGGAGCCTCAGCAACTTCCGCCGCCTATCGACGACAAGCTTGTGCTTGATGGTGTGGAAATTACGTGCCAGAGCCCAATTGCAGTGCTTGCAGGTGCATGTGACCGCCTAGGTTTGAGGCACTCAGGTTCGAAGCGTAGACTGTTTGATCGCATAAAGGCCTACTTGCAGAAGCAGCAGTTGACTCTGTCAGCTGATATGGCACGATGCAGTTGCCAATGCTTCAAGGGAGCCTGTCATGCAGTCGCTCCCAACGCCACCGTCGAAGTCCGAGCAACTGCTTCACGAGCTCACTCATGAACCCTTTGCTCCATGGTGTGAGAGCTGCGTTGCTTTCCGTTCGATCCCTGACAGGGCTGAGAGCACCACTGGAGCCCCGTGGGATGTGCCTCGAGTCAGCTTTGATTTCATGTATACTGGCCTCGATGAAGGTTCAGAAGAGATTGTGGAGAAGAAAGGCCCGCAGGCCGAAAACAACAAGGACCTCCTTTGCTGCTTGATTTGCCACGATCAGTCAACTTCTTCAGTTGCATGCATTCCGTGCCAGAGCAAAGAAGCCTCACGATATTTGGGTGTTGAAGTGATGCGTTTTGTGCAGACCACGATTGAAATTTTCGCGGACAATGAACCCGCGACTGTTCGATTGCAAGATGCCTTAGTCGTTGCTCGATCGCGCCTCGGCTTGAAAACCCTCAAGAGCAACCCGGCCATTGGCCGGCACCAGTCCAATGGAGCGGCCGAGAAATCAATCGACCTCGTTCGCCGCCTCGCGTGCACTTTGCTTGATGTTGTGCGCAAGCGCACGGGACTGCGCATTGGCGTGCGCCATCCACTCTTTGCTTGGGCGT